ATATATATATATATATATATATATATATATATATATATATATATATATATATATATATATATACGCTAATTAGTTGAGATCGTTTGAATTTTCTGAGTGGAATGTAACGATTCAAAATCAAGTTATTAGACTTGCTGGTGTGTATCGTCCGCCATCATCTACTAACTATCCTCAATCCGTGAGTTTGTTTTTTGAGGAATTTTCTACTTACCTTGCATGAAAGTATTGTAATATCAACTGCATGAGAGGTTACGTATTTCAAGCGATTTTAATTTCCACGTCGAATCTACTGACGATACTAATGCCAAAAAATTATGTGAGCTTTTTGAAACATTTGGTTTAAGCCAACATGTGGCCTGTCCAACTCAAACTTCTGAACGTACTCTAGATCTTATAATATCTAGATCAATTAATGATGTGATTATAACTGAATTAGAATCTACGTTGGCTTCATCTGATCATTCGTTCATCGAGTGTAATTTGAATATGCCTAGGCCAAATTTTTTTGTTAAGGAACTTCGATTCCGTCAGTTGAAAAGAATAGACATTCCCATGTTCAAAAATGATATTTCCGGGTCTGAATTATGTGTCAATTCCTTTTCGGATATTGATGAGTTTACACGTTGTTATGATGCGACTTTGTTAAATCTTCTTGATAAACACGCTCCTATTAAGACGAAAAAGATGGTTATGAGACTTGTTGTATCTTGGTTCACTGACGATCTTAAAAAGCTTAAAGCTGAAGGACGGAAATGCGAAAGAAAAATCTTCAATCTGGTTGTTCCCATGATAAAGAGCTTTATTATAAGACTAGACATAAATACAGTGCCCTTCTTCGTAAAACAAAGACTAGATATTATTCTGTTTTAATTAACAGATGCTCAGGCAATTGTAAGAAATTGTTTCGTGTCAGTCAATTCATTGTCCAAACAGAAGTCATCTAAAAGTTTACCACCTTATGAGAATCCGTTGATTCTGGCGAACGAATTTGGAACATTCTTCGGTCGAAAGATTGAACTTATCAGTGACGAAATTAATAAGATTGGTGTTAATCCGATAACTACTGAACATCGTTGCATAAATATCAATATTGCTTAAATCCTTTTCTCCTGTGTCGCAAGATGATATACGAGGAGTTATTTCGAAAGCATCAAATGCCTCTTGTCAACTTGATCCAATACCAACTTATTTGCTTAAGGATTGCTGTGATGTTCTGTGTCCGATAATTAAAAAAATGATCAACATGTCGCTGGAGAAAGGAATAGTTCCGGAAAATTGGAAATTGGCACTTGTAGATCTCCGTCTTAAGAAACTTGGTATGGATTTAGTGTTTGAAAATTTTAGACCTGTTAATAATCTTCATTTTCTTGCAAAGGTAGCTGAGAAAGTTGTCATGTCGCAATTAGTTAATCACTGTAACGAAAATGCACCACTGCCTGTCAGTCAATCAACATATCGTCAGTTCCATTCAACTAAAACTGCGCTGCTTAAAGTGCAGAATGACATACTTATTAATATGGACAACGAAGAGGTTACGTTGCTTGTTATGCTCGACATGAGTGCTGCCTTTGACACTATAGACCATAATATTCTTATTGATATCTTCAAGAATGATTTTGAAGTAGTGGACAGCGCACTT